TTGTTTTTGTTTGGAGAATTTGGCATTTTTTTGTTTCTGGCAGGATTTTTGCATAATCTGAAGAAGCCAGATTGGATTTGAATTGTTTTTAGTGTTACTAACATTAGATTGTTTCGTAGTATACATTAATTGTAAAGGGAATGTTTTGTGTTCTAATTTTTTTTACTTCTTTTTGTGTTTACCAAAAATGAGTTATGACGTGGTAAAGTGTTGCTGTTCAAGGAAGATATCATTGAAAGATTGTTATATGATTTTCACGTTTTTCCTGCCAATTTCAGATTTTTGCTAACAAACATTGTGAACAGGTTTTTTATTGCGAGGTGGTTGTGACTCTTTTTTTTTTCATTGAAAATATCCATCTGAAATATTCATATTTTGAAATTTCATTGAGCTCTATTGAAAAATTGGACCCTAATTTCGGGATCTGAATTTTTTTTCTTAAAATAACATATTGTGCCAAATTTCATAATAGTGTTTCGCAATTTCTTCTCTGCTTTGTTTTGTTCAGTTTTTCAAAACATACACAAATGAAAAATTTCCTTTTTCTTTTTCCAGAAATTTCTTTTTTTTTGATTTTCAAGACGAAAAGAATAAAATTCTTCGTTTTCTTCGTTTTTTATTTGCTTCGTGTGAGATGTTCGGTCAGTCAGAAAGAGAAATTCAGCGTGAATGATTAATGTGAAACCTCAATGAATTTTTTATATTTCATAAGAAATTCGTTGCTTTTTTCAATACATGTGATGCATATTCACAAAAAATATGGTAATAAAATGAAAAAAAAAAGCTCATATTTTTTTGTTATCGTCAAAAAATATTTTTCACCTTAACCAAATATACGACAATTGAATTTTAGTGGTCGCATGAAGCGAGTGAGGGAGGAGGTTATTTGAATTGTGGATGAGGAAAAATTTTTGTGTTTTATTATTTACAAATCGATAGGCGCTAGTTTCGAGCTTTTCCTCTTTTTTTTTCTTTTTTCTTCCCTTCTCCCCTTCTCATTTTTCTCTTCTTCCCAAGCTTCTGCATCTCTAACCATAGTCAGTGTTTTTGTCTGTCTCCGTCTCTTGTGACACTTTCAATCTCTAATTATTCTACGATAGCGCGCCATCGGCTCTTTTTCTATCTTTCTCGTTTTTCACTCACCCGTCCGTCCGTCCACGAGAAAATCTTTTTTTTTTCTTGTTTCGTTTTTTTAGGCTTTATGTTATTTTGTACTCTTTCTGCACTCCCAAAATACCCATTTCCTAGAAATATTTATGACTTTTTTCGTTTTTTTCTGACGAAGAACAACATTTTGAGTTCAACTCGCATTTTCAACAACGGTTTTCTTTTTTTTTAAATTATTTTTCGAAAAAGATAAGAGCTTCCTGATAACAAATATTTCGTGAAATTGAAATTGACATTGGATAAAAAAATAAAATAAACATTTCTTTTCAATCGTTCACATTGTTGCGTTTTTCTCACGATCAGTTTTTTCTTACATGTTTTATTTTAGCAATTTCTATTGAGGTTACTGTAATAATATGTCTCATAAAACCGCGTTCTCACAGATATCATAAAAAGCGTGCATTTGAATATATTAGTTTTTGAACAAAAAATCACACAATCCATTGTTATTCATTTTTCTATTAGTATATATATAAAGTGCATATTGGATCAATTAGTTTTTTCAACAATAGCAAATCTTTGGTTTTCAGTAGATTTTCAGAGAAGTATTAGCCTACTGTACTTTATTTATAACATTCTTCTTGTTTCTGTTTTTCCTTCTTTTTTTCAGTTAGAAAAAATGGTTGCGTGCATTGAATTTCAACTAACTCCCAAACACATGTCAAATTGAAAAATGCGTGCAAAAACCAAACCATCTATCTAACTAACTAGAAGTTGTGCTTTCAATAAGTCAAAAAACAAATACACGCGACTAACATCTGTTCATTTTTCAGTTAAAATCAAGTGACCCAAAATCATCTGTGATCAGATAGAAAAATTGAGAGTCATAAGGCGCGTCGAGTGAATTTTGGCCAAAAAACAACGAGAAAAAACAAGATCGGATTTGATTACGTCAAACATTTGGTTTCTTTTTCTGTGTCAGCTCATCCGCTGCTTGTTTGCGTGTGTCTCGACGCGTTTTATTAATCTTTCTTCTCTTGTTCTTCATTTTTATGTATATTCATTTCGTTTCAATCTTTCTTTTTCACTCACTCATTTATTCATTTATTTTTGATTAATATTTTTCTTTTTTCCAGATTTTTTTGTGGGACAGCGTCGAACGCTCAAAACGCGAAGCTCGGATATTAAGCAGTGCTATGAAAATTGGCTTTTTCAACCAAATCTTCACCCAACGTTCCAGGTAATTTTTTGATAACATTTAAAAAATAGACAGATGTGTATGTGTTCAAAGATTGATGCTAGAAGTAGAGAAACATTCTTTGTGTGGAACATTTTTTTTAGATTGGTTCTCATGTTTCTCATATAATTTTCTATTCTCATGTAATTCACGCTATTCTAGCTGCTGTGAGGCTGTCAGCCAAAAAAAAACAGATCAAAGAATTTTCGACACCGAAAATCTTCAATTTTCGAAAACTGCTTTAGGACATCAATTTTTTTTCTATGCGTTGCCACGCGAAAAATTCAAAAATATCATTATAAGAGTCACGTTGAGATTACAGTCCTAGGCCACTGTTCTCAGCTTCACCGCTTTTTACTGATAAAAATTCAAACTATGAAAAATAAATAAACAAACGTCAGCAGTTTATATTAATTTGAGCAAAATATTGGTAAATGTTTGCCTGTATTTTTTTACCTTTAAAGTCTGTCCATTGCTAGAAAACTCTGTGAATGGCTAATAGCTCGAGCAGACAACTTTTGTCAATAATACCTAAGAGATTCACAAGAAAAGTGCAGACCTAGATCCAATGCACCTTCAAAGTTCCGCATACGTAATTTTCTTTTCATGCATGTTTTGTTTTTCACAGAAAAATTGTTAACTCAATGCTTTAGACATTACATTATCTATTACAAATCAATTTAATGTGAATGAAAATTCACATTAATTTCCGCCCACAGACTGTGGGAAATAAAAATGAAATGATTCTTGTCACAGTTTGTTTCGGTTTCAGTTTTATTCTATTTTCAATATTCTCGCTTCAAATTTTTAACGGAAAGCATTTCTGTTTTCCTTCTCCGCGGGATATCTGTGGAGTTTTCTAACGCCCATGACTCTAGTTGAACACATTACGAAACAATTCAGAATTTGATAATGTTCCCAGCTGTGATTTTCAATATTGCTAATACCATTCTAATTAAAAACGCTCTAATTCTAAGAAGCCGGATTCAGTTTTTTATGTTAATTTTCGTGTTAATCTCTGAATATGATTCATCGTTTATTATTTTTCACATCAGAATAGGATCAAGAAACAAAATCAATATTTTTACAACCAAAAAAATGGCAAAACAGGCCACGCCCACATATTAGAAGAACCATCAACCATTTCTATAAAAAACAATATCGTGTGTTTTATGTTTTTCTCTCTGTCTTTGAAGAAAATTTTTAAAGGATCTTTTTTTGAAAAAAAATAAATAAGGAAATTGGTCTTGAGAAGAATAAGGAAACATGGTTTATTTTTTTTTTGAAGAACATCTGTTAGTTTTCATAGCACGTGACAGCACAAACATACGCATTTCTATTTTTTTTGAAGTTACTTTTGTGAACATTTAGAACCAGAAATATATATTTTATTATTTTTTTTTTGATTAAGTGCTTCATTTTTGATCTCCATTTATGTTCTTTTCTAGAAAACTTGATAGTATCAGATAGCTCTCACCTTGATGTGATGCATTTTGGAAATAATAACTTTCGGTTCCATTTTTTCTTTGCGGAAATTCGAAAAAAAACGAATGTCGCCAGTCAAAAATATCCCAAAAGAAAAACATAAAAATGTTTTTTTTTCTCATTTTTTATCAATTTTTTTCGAAAATAATTGGATCGTAATGTTTTGATGTGTCACATCAAAAAAATAGTCCATTTATTTTTTCAAGATACTTTTTATTGTATTTCACATTTGAAACTTTTCTGACCATTTTTTTTTTGACTTTTCGTTCACATCAGAATTTCTGGTTTTGCTAAAGACAACAACAAACATGTATTTGTTTTTAGAGCAAACACTTATTGATTTGTCACACAAATAATTAGAAAAAAAATCAAATATGTAATTATCATCGTCATTTTCTCCAAACACTTTTTTTGATTAATTTTTAAGCCTAGCAAAAAAATAAGAAAGAAAAATATTTTGGTATTCTTCTGATTATCAAATAAATAATCCTGTTGATATTTTTGTTTTATTTTTGAATTCGTGAGAATATACACATATGTTGTAACCGGTCAAGGTCTTTTGAAACTTTTTTGGAAAGTATCATTTTTTGATTTTGATTTTTATGTATTTTTCTATTTCACAATTTATTATTTTTTCAGCCGATCAAAAGTGTTGCGAGCACCAATCGGCGAATATTGTCGAGGTCAACACTGACTATCTGTGGATTATCAAACTTCAACCAACCAAAATCTGATTAACTTCAAACTTCGAATATCTCTATTCGACGCTATCAATTTCCAACCTCCTTAATTATCCTTCTCTTCTACTTTTATTTTTCAAGTGAGTTTTTTTCTACAGTAATCCCTTATTAATTAGTGAGGGGAAAAATAATTGAGACATTTTTTTCAAACAAAAAAACACTTCATCGAGCATTTTTTTCACACTATTAATTATAGTTGCAATTCCAACGAAAAAGTGTATATATTCATATTTATTCTGCCGTTTTTTTCCCATTTCTAACTTTAGATTTTTTTTTCAAAAAAAAAAATTATCCAATAAAATGCATTAGGAAGCACTTTTTTGAACCAATAAAACTATGCGCATTTAATGCACCCCATGCCTTCTGTACTCAAAACATAAGTTTTTCGCTTTGAGCATTGATTTTCTTCATTGTTTCAGATCTGACCAAAAATGAGCGCCGCTTTACAAAAGCGTGGATCAAATAACCAAACTGTGCCAGCATATTATAAGCCAGCTCCATCCGAGATCAATTATGGAAAATTGCGTTTCCTAATCACTGATCGTCCATCCGATTCATCGATCATGGCTTATATTCAAGAATTGGAAAAACACGAGGCTCGCGCCGTTGTTCGTGTTTGTGAGCCAACATATGAAATCAAGCCATTGGAAGAACGTGGTATAAATGTTCTCGATTGGCAATTCAGTGATGGCTCACCACCAACACCAGAAGTTATCCAAAGTTGGATTCAGTTGGTCAAAACTTCGTTCAAGGAGTATCCAACCAAAAGTATCGCTGTTCATTGTGTTGCTGGATTGGGCAGAGCTCCAGTTCTTGTTGCTTTGGCTCTTATTGAAGCCGGCATGAAATACGAGGATGCTGTTGAATTGATCAGAACGTAAGTTTCATTAAAACTGTTAATATACACTGTATCACGTTATGAAGTTTGTAACGATTCACCTATATACTCTCAACTTTGAATAATTCTGTATCGTGTTTGTTTTAGTAGTCATCAAAAATTTATATTAAAAACCATATGTTTTCAGGCAACGCCGTGGAGCACTGAACACTCGTCAACTTCAATTCCTCGAGAAGTACAAGTCAACTGGAGAACTTCGCAAGTTCCGTTACAGTGTTGATGGAAAAAACAAATCGTGCTGCATTCAATAATTCCGTATTCCAAATACACTTTGCTTTAGTTTTTTTATCTTCCTTCACATTTTTGTCATTTAAATGTTTTACTTTTTTCCATGTTTCTTTTTTCTCAAAGTCCTCCTCCCAATTGTCTTTTCGTGTGATTCTTTTTCTTTTCTATATTTCTTTTTCATTCTAGTTTTTGAAATCCCATTTTCTCACTCTTGAAAATTTTGTGATTCAATTGTCATTCTATGATGGATTAATGTATGCTCATTGAGATATTTTCTGTTTTCTATGCTTTTCTTTAATTTTTCTGTATCCGGTTTTTTGAAATATCATTCTTTTGAGTTTGTTTTTTTGTGGTGTCACCTTTTATGCAATGTTTTTCTTCTGTCTGTGGTCTTTGCCCTATTTTAATAAACTATTTGAAAAAAGGAATTCATGTTTCATTCAATGTAATGCGCAAATCCACTGTTTTTTGACACATAACATATCCTAGAAAAGCAGTCAGAAATTTCATCAAATTATACTTTGGTTTCGATATCATTTTGTCTGATTTTCATGATAATAATTCCACCTGTTTTTTTTCACGATTCTTGGAATTAGAATTCAACTTTATAAATATTGTGTTTTTTAAACATTCAATCAAATAAGTTACTTTCTATTAAGCATATATTCTGCAGTTTGTCCACAGTTAGGCATCATCAAAAATTGAACAGGAATTCAAATTATCATTTTATTCAATAAACTTGGGTTTTGAAAAATTCTGATTGACCATTTTTCAATAAAGGTTTCGAATAAAAACATGGGAAAACAAAAAGTCGATATTCTTTCACGGTCCAAATCATAACAAAACTATTAACTGAAGAATGAGATGTGAAAACCAATTCATTTACCAATAAAATATTTCTATTCTTGAATCCAATTGTCATATCGATTAATATTACAGCTAACGGAATAACAAGCATAATAAATGTAGCAGCCTAAAATGATATTGAGAAATTTAGTGATTGAAAATACGGGTACCTGTGCTAGAAGATTTTGTAATGCTTTTTTGTGAATTTGTTTTCTTGCGTTTGAAATTGTACTTAATTTCGCATTGAATACAACAATCATATGAAATGTCATTATAAAACAGAAACAAGATCCGAAACAAACAAATATTACTGATATTACAACAAGAATATCAAATATTTCACTTTTTTTGAAATATGAAAATTGCTCCATCATTTCAAAACTTGATAACAATTTTGGATAAAAAAGTTGAATTTCAATCAATGCTTCTTCTCTGCTAATTTTTCCGCAGTAAAATAATGTTGGGACAGATAAAGCACAAATTGTTGTAGAAACAGCTAGAATATATCTTGAAATGGGTTTTAACATAAATTTTTTGACGCTGCCAAGTTGCATGATAACTTGATGTTTTTCAATGAAGCAAAAAACTAAGGTTGCGCCTTGAAATACTGTTGAAGCACCTAATAATGTCTGAAAATGTTATATTAAACGGTCATTGACAAAACTATTTTGGTTGCTTCGTGAGGTGGTAATCTAAATAGTTTCCAGAAATATCCACCCGATGTCGAAACTGCCCAGATTGGAAACATAATTAAAAGTTGACAACCAAGTGTATAAACAAAGTCAGAAAGCATTGAAAACAATTGAAATAATAATAAAAAATACTTATAGTTTCCAATTCTCCCACTTTTGAAAATGATGAGATATGCTCCAAAACTATTTATAATTAGAGAAAGTATACCAACAGTATAAAATGATGTTACAAGCCAATCTGGATTTTTGAATAGAATGTTTTCGTAATTCATAGTTGAGCCTAGACTCTATATTCTGAAAACAAAATCACATTGGATTTATTCTATTTGAAAAAATAAAATAATTTGCGCAAATTGGATATCAAAAATCAAAAAGCCATGAAAATATCTAGAAAAGCTCATGAAAAATAACCAGAAAAAAGCTTTTGATCTAGTATAATTGAGTTTTATAGACAACCAATTTCCTCGTTGAACATTTGAGCACAAAAAATGAGAAAAAATAACGTAGATAACACAAAATATGATCAAAAAAATTTGCGTAGATGTATGAAAATCACAAATTCATCTTTAATGAACCAACACAGTTGAACAGATTTTGAATCATTTCATTAGAGCTTCAAAACAAGAATATGAGAAAATTTGGTTTTTAAAAATAGATAGTATTTGGTTTCTCTGACAAATTATTTTCAGAAAAAAACATTTTGAAATTGTCAGTTTGGAATTCCTTGTTATAACTAGATTGAAATAGAGCAAGACAATGAAAACTATTCCGGAAGCACAACCTCTTATTTTTGTTTTATAATATCAAAACGTTTTATTAACAAAACAAAACACTGAAATGTGTTATTGTGAATTTAAACGAATTGTATCTTATTGGATATGAACACACAATACAAGTTTCATAATTTATTATTTTTTGAAACAATACGTTAGAATATACACTCGATTCTCATTAACCACTATCAAACACTAATTTCAACAACAGCCGGATAAACAACATGTAGTTTTTTCATTGTAAGGATTTGCTGTACAAAAATTCGATATTCTTTAATAGTAGTTATATAAACAACACAATTGACAGTTGAATGACAGCTTAAAATTAATTGATGGAAAATCAAAATGTTCTGATTTTCAAAACCAAAATAAAGATCAGCAAATAATGCAAATAAGGGAATCAAAATCACATTCAATACGATAGCCTGAATTGTTTAAGGTTACAATTAATTTTTGATTCCATACCTGCGCAAACAAACTAATGATAGTATTTTTATGTTGGCTTTGTTTTGAAATAGATAGAATATGTAGAATTGATCGAAATGTGGAAAGCATGTGAAAACTGATGACAAATGCCACAAAGGAAACTACAACAAGTCCAAAAGCAACACAATAAAGTACTAGCTCAAGAATTTCCGATTTATCGTGGTACGAAAATTGCTCGATTTGTTCAAAATTATGATAAACACTCGGATATTTTGATTCGAATACTTTTAGAGCCTCATTCCTTGACATTCCGCTGGTATAAAAAATGGAAAGAAAAAATACAGAACCTATGATAATACATATTAATATAGCCAATCTCCAAATTGAGTTGAAAATATATTTTTCCTTTTTCGCAAGTTTCATTATAGTTTGATGTTTTTCCAAAAACTGAGCAGCCAATATCGATGATTGTAAAATAAGGAAAGACAATAAAATAGTCTGAAAAACAAACAATTGTAAGTATTCAAAATAATATGTGTTCGGTACCAATGCAGCCAGCGATGGAATTCTGAAATATTTCCAGAAATAACCATCAGAAGTTGTAATTGCCCAAATTGGAAATGCAAAAGTCAATTGACAACCTAGAGTAAAAGAGATGTCCACAAAAATAGAAGAAATTTGGAATGATAACAGATAATATTTATAATATCCCATTCTATCACTTTTATGTATAATTGTATAAATTCCAAGAGTATTAATGAAAAACGAAAATATTGCAATAAAATTGTATGATAATTTAGCCCAATCGGGGTTTTTGTACATAATATTTTCCAAGTTCATTGAGTAATAATTTGAAAAAAAAAATAAAATAACGTATCAAAAATGAAAATAACAAATGAAACAGGTGTTTTATTTTATTAGCGTATACAACTTTTAGGCTTAACTCCAAATCTCCAAATACGGAATAATTATTTTAATATTTAGACAATGTTTGAACTTTTGCAAGAAGTAACAGCCTCCAAATAACCGGAACCGCATTTCAGAGCATAATTAACACTCTCTCTTACATTAGAACATTATAATTAGGTTGTCACACTAACATTTCAAACATCAAAGTTGTTAATTCAATCCATATCTCAAAGAAATCTTCTAAAAACATTTAGAACGTGAATTACGTGGAATTCACGTTGAACTTCTCTTTCCGAATTTTATCTGAAAAAATAACAACAAAATAATTTCCCATGAAACATATTTATTTAAAACTCTTGTGCACACATATAATGGTAAATATATATCTGTTATATAATGTGGATGATTATAAGGGTAGATAATATTCGAAAAAAAACATGGCACATAAAATTTCTTTCTTTTTCTCTCGAAGGAAAGGGATTTTTTGTAATATATAGTTTGGTAAATAATATAATATATATAAACTTTTTTGGTAAAAATATTTTTGAAATTAAAGGGGAGGGGTTAGAAAATCACAAATGACGAAAAATACAATCAACGGTTTGACAAAAAAATTTGAAAGACATTCAGCAAAAATGTGGTTTGAAATGAGAATTTGAAAAATTCTCAAAGAAAATAACTGTTAGAAAATTGTGGTTTAAGGGGGTGGGGGGAGTACAATACACGATAATGAAAGACGCCGAGTAGGATTAACACGAAATATGAAGAGAGAATGGATTTTCTACAGTAAAAAGAAGCGTCATGATCGGGTGGGGGTTTACCGGAAATATAGGGGGAGTCAAAAATTCTTTATCAATCGGTAGATCAAAAATGAAGAAAGCATAATCATGTAAAACGCCGCCTTTTGAGATCATATTATTGGCGGGTGGAAGTTGAAAAATATCTAAAGAAGGAAGAGAGTTAAATTTAAGGAAGGGGGGGGGGTCACCGAAAAAACACAATAAATATGGGATTTTCTAACTAAAGGGCAATAAAAAAGAATATGTAATCACAAAGAAATGACTGAAAGACGAAGTTATACTTTGATATCTGGGGAAAAATTGCTAGATCACTAATTATTTCAGGGAAAATTTGATGATTCAAAAATAGAAAGAAAGACATTTCAAATTGTTGTTGAGACCAATAAAATGTCATTGAAAATGAAAATGTTTGAAAGATTTTAGGTTTTGTGAGACGATACTATGAGAATTTAGGGGAAATTAGGGGAAATTCTAGGCCAGACACTTCTGGCTGAAGTTTTGAAAGACATTGAGTTGATATATATATGTAAATTTGGGGAGAAATATAACACTGCACACACACGAATATTGAAAATGGAAGCGACTAAATCTAATCCAGTTGATTGCCAATATAATAATATTGTGAGAAGAATATTGAAGAGAAAGAGAAGAAAGAGATTACAATTGTGACAAGATCGAGAATACCGAGATGTCTGAAAAAATTGGATTAAGAGGGATCGCAATGGAAAGGTAAGCTGGGAGAATTGGAAATTTTGAGTGATGCACTTTTTTTCCTTGGAAAATTATGAAATATTTTCAGACAAGTTGCATTTTCTTTTTTTGAAATTTTTAGTGAAAAACACTTCTTAAAACACTTAAAAAAAATCAAAACTTACATTTTTCAATCACTGTGTTCACGTAAACAGCAATGAGCATTAGTATGAGTGCAAAGAGTTTTTGGTGTTCATTTGTGCTGAAAAATCATAAAATTATAACTCCCACTAATCATTCATTCAACCTACATTTCAAGTTCGGAAGCTGGTTTGTCATAACCATCATTTTTCCAAACATTATTGTCATCAGAAAAACAAGCATCAAAATCGGAATCGAATCTCGAAGAGACTTCTGAATCAATGCTCATCTCTTTCATCGATCTAGTGATCGATTGAATGATGACTGGGGCGAGTTGAATATCTACAGTAGAAAAAGCGGTCGATGGTAGGGAGATAAGAGATGCCTTGCTCATTTGGAGGAAGATGGGCTCCTCAGCAAGCATATCAAATCGGTGTTCGCCCCCAACAGTCCCTGCCGGCTGCTCAAAAAACAATTGCTGTCCATAAGCAGGTCCGGTTCCATAACCACCTAAAAATGATACAGACGGATCATGTGACGCATTTCCAGAAAGTTTTCTTGGAGGCGATTCGCCGTTGTGTGATGCGAATGAATCGGGTGAACAAGATTGTGTAACTGAATTGAGACGAGAACGGAAGCCTGAATCTTCATCGTCTTCTTTATCTTTTTTCTTGTCGTTGATGATATTGAAAGCATCTTCCATTGACATTCCACTTCGATCTGGTGATGCTTGTGACATACTGTTGGGTGAACCTTCACTTCCGACACCAGAATCTGTTCCACCTCTGGCAAGCTCATCGCAAACTGGCAAGAAGAGATGCTCGTTTTCAGCGGGAATGAAAGAGAATGGATCAAAGGGTGAGTGAACTGATACCATCTGAAAAAAATGAATTTTAATTTTTTAGAAAAAAACATGTAGTTTTTTGTTAATTTTTCGAGAAAAAAATAGAGTTCTTTGATGTTCTCCATCCAAACTTACAATATTATTCTGCACAGGCGGGATGAAACAAGGTCTACACTGATCCTTGTGTCTTTTCAACGCCACTGAGCTTCTGAATTGTCCACAACATTCATCACAACGCCAAGGTCCCTCTTCCAATGAATGATGTTGCGCGTGTTTTTGCAACTCTTTATCATTTTCAAACGCCTGACGACAATTTGTACATTTGTATGGGAAAAGATCATCTCCAGAATGTGAAGCCGAATGGCGCAAATAGGATTCCTCAGTTGGCAGAAGTACACGGCATTTGCGACAAGAGAAAAGCTGAAATCGTATAGTTCATTATCAATTTAATTTTTATTTATTATTTGTTGTTGTTTGTATTAAAACTCTTGTTTTTTTTCGAATTTTTGAAGATAACAAAATTTCTGCTTCCTTATCAAAATAAAAAGGAGGTACAGTATGTGAATCGGTCTTTTTCTTATTTTACAATCCCCTGCGGAACATCAAAGATACAAGTTTTCTCACAAATACAAACTCATTGCCGCTTCCAGCAACAACTGGGTCACACCGTAACTGTCACAAAATGACATCATCGGGGCGCGGAACGCTGACTAACCGCCTTGTTCTTTCACAGCTCCCGACACACATACTAACACACGTCATTCTTAGTTTACTAGAAATTAGAACTCGTACCAGTTGGGAAAAATGTTTCTTGGAATGGAATGGGAAAAATATGTGACTAATGCATACCTTTTGCTTATTTTTCTGAACAAACGCCTCAATTTGTTGTGTTGGAAGTTGTTGGCCGCGAACACAATCGAAATCTTTGTCGAATGCATTTTCAGCATCATTCATTAGTGGATCCATTGTCATTGGGAAGTTCTGAAAGGGTTTCAAATTAATATGAGCAACATTTGATTTTGCTGAAAATGTGTCAAAAAATAAAAATTTTGAAATCTAGAACAATTTCTAAAAAAAAGGTCAGAACTGAATTACAGTACTTTCCCCGAACAATTTGAAATTTAGTATGAGCAACATACATTATTTTGCACTGGTTGCATATGTTGTTGCTGTTGCATTTGCATTTGTTGTTGCTGCTGTTGTTGCAGCTGATTTTGATCCAAATTCTGAATCACCAAACCATAAGTGATTGGCGCGTCGTTGTCCTCAGTTTCCGAATAACAATGTGGCGGAGGACACATTGGAATTTGCGGTTCTTCTGTGTTGTGCATAATTGGAATTGGTTCGACTTTGGTTTTGATCATTTGATTCATTTCGAGTTTCTTGGGATTTGGTGAAATTAAACTGCCACCACCGCCGCCACGACGACGTCTGAAAATAAAAAAAGTTAGACTGAAACAACTTTTTTTTCAGAAAACTTACTGTTGAAGTGATTTTTGACGTTCTGGACATTTGTGTTGATAAAGATTTGAGCGAAACTTGTAAGTTTTGAAACAAAATTTGCATTTGAAAGGTCGATCATTTGAATGTTTCACTGCATGTTGCTTCAAATACCACACTGAATTGAACAATTTTCCACAATCTTTGCATTCACATTGTTGATTTTTCTCAAGAGTTACATTAATGTGATCGACTTCTGTAGGGCAGATTACAACTGGTGGAGGTGGTGGAGGGTCGTTCTGCAAATTTTCATATGAAAGTAAGGACCCCAGTTATTGAAATTGACTTTCAAAATTCGTAGAAACTTTATTACTGAAATTAGTTTTATACATTTGAAAAAATAATATTGCACTTCTATGGAAAACTTTCAAAAGTGGAAAAAATTATGAAGTTTTTCCAGATTGTTTTGAAAGTAATTTATTTTACTTTGTTCGTCTCAAGTTTTGAATAATTTTTCAGAACTTAACTCATTTTTTCGAGAATGAAATCACATTTATTGCAATTAAATTGATTTCAAAACACTTTGATATAATTCTGAGCATTTGACCTTTTCTTCCGATAAAAATTCAAAAAAATATGTGTTATCTGTTTCTCCAAAGAAAAATCTGACTATACTATTCAACAAAAAGTTCGATAAAACAGTTGTTTTGGTTTCAATATTCTCAAAAAAACCTGCTTCTGACCCTTCTCTCTCAAAATTCGCTGCAATTTCGCACTTGACAAGAGAACAAGACAAAACTAAAAACTTTATTTTTTTCGTGTGTGTGGGGAGAGACAGTTGGCTTTTTCTGCTGACGTAATGGTCATTCTGGTCAGCAGAAGAAAATGATGAGTAGGTTTTTTGGAATTTTTTGACACCGATTGATAAGGAATTTTTTTGATGACCCCTAAACGGGTGGCTAAAACTAAAAGTGATCCCTTACAGAGTTCCTACAGGGTGAGAAAAGATGACACTCCCAGAAACATACCGGTTTTGGCATGCCACCCATTCCATCTTCTAAACCAAGTGCACCAATTGGTGGTTGTTGTGGTTGACCATACATTTCCGAACCCGGTGGTCCCGGAGGCGGCTGATAATAATTATAATTATTCATATAATCATCCATTTTTGATTTTGCATAGAGAACCGATGCTAGAAAAATAAAAATTTGTTGCTAATTACAGTACTTTTTGTTGTGAAAATACGGTGCGACGGAAAAAAAGAAGAGAAATGTTTTCAAAAAAAATAATGAAAATAGAGAATTGAAATGAAAATAATAATAATAATAAAAATAATGATGGGGAAAGTGTGCATGTTTTTATCAAAGTAAAGCTTTCCAAAAATTTGATAAAAATGACCAGGTCTCTTGACCATGTCTCCAAGTAACATTTCAAAAACCTTCTTATCAGAAAATTTGAGGGTCGTATAATGAAATGAACTTTTTCCTATTTTCGGACACTACGAAAAAAAATGAATATAGCAAAAAATATGAAAAAAAAAGGGAATGTGTCATGTTTGGTTGGTCACCTGTGAGCTCCGCCCCCCCCCCCGGACGGGAGGGAAAAAGGCGGAATTTTGTTTTGAACAAAAATAAATAAATAAATAAATATGGCCTGGAGAGAGACAGAATTTTGAAATCAAAATTTTTCGAAAGAAATACAGAAAAAACACAAAATTCGTATAATCAAGAAGATGCGAATAGCGGAATGGAATGCTTTTCGTTCGTAAGAAAATACTAAAACTACTACGAAGCCGTCAAAGAATAAGAAGGAAAAAAACCATCGAATAAAAGATATATTATATTATTATTATATTATTATACACATACCAGCTAACTTTTTTGTGACTGGATGGCCGCGCTTCTCCTCGGCTTTTTTTCCTCTTTTACTAAACTAAATGGCCGGCTAAATAGCAGCAGCAAAAAATCCGGTGTGTATGTGTTCACGCTTAAACCAATAATTTCGGGAAGAAGAAAAAAGACGAATTAAATTGAGGAGGCCCTCTTTTTTGCTTCGTTCTTTTGTACTTTTGACTGCGGCTATTGTTATTTGTATATGAATAAGCGTAAAATTTTTTTAAACTTAGAGGATGGCCTAACTTGATTTATGAATCTTGACAATGTTTTCGAGAAACTCGATTTGATAATTTCTGACTTCTATGAGGAGTGTCAGTTTAATAAGAAATTCAAAGGATATGTTGATTTCAACTAACTCGAGGTAATAAAGTGTGCTCTGAAATTCAAAGTATATTTTCCTAGAATGATGTAGGAACAACACAATATTCAGGAATTTAGGAGGTTATGCAGAATTTCGAAACTTTTGACCGCGAGAGTCTGTACCACTATGTTGAAAGTTCATTTTCTGAGAAAGTGTTTTTGTTATCAGAACAATATTTTTTTTTGAAATTTTTCATTTTATATTGAAAAAAAATATCTCATACCTTTAGATCCTCAAAAAATCCCATTAATAAGTCTAGACTATTTTTTAACATAATCAAGAAACAAAAAAGCTGGATTAAGCCAGAGTGTTCAAAAAATTAATAAATTAGTTGCCAGAAATTTATGGAAATGACTAAATCAAAGTGCAAAATGACAAAGAAAACATTGAATATTATCAAAACAATTTAGAAACATTTTTGTTGAATCACACAAACTCGTCGAATAAAAATCGAAAAAACTGGTTTAAACAAAGATGTTCTAAAAATTGATATGTGAGTTGTCAGAAGTTCAAAAGCTAGAAAAGTGCATAATGAGAAAAAACATTTTGAAGTCATCAAAACAATTTGGAAAATTATTCGTTGACCACGCACACTCATCAAATCAAGTCAAGAAAAATCAATCCTCCCCAGGAAAAAACGAATCTCATTTTTCTTATCAATCCGTTGTCCGTCCGGAGAGACAGCCACAACCCTACCGTAATCATCTCAAGGTCGCCTCCCAAAAAAATTTAGGATTTAGTTAATTTTTGGGAAAAAAGGGTCCATGAAAAGATGCGAGAAAAGTCAATTAAAAAGTGAAATGGTTTTGATGATGATTTTTTTCTGAAAGGTCCGGACAACTACAAAATGTGGGAAAAGGCGAAGCGAGATAGTTAGAGAAAATTAGAGAAATCAGACAAAACCGGTATCTGCTGAAACCAAAAAAATTGTTTCATTACTTGTTATCATGAGAAGAGGGAGGCAGCCCGGTAGGTCTCGTTTCGAAAAAAAATGTAAAAGAACTGGAACGAGACGATAATAATTCATTTTCGCCTAACTATGTATATTAGGGGTTTCTTTCGAAATTTTCATCATTTTAGAAGAAAAGTTTCTTCAAAAAGGAAAAAAACCGAACAAATCTTTTTGGAGATTATAAAAAAAGAGAAGCATGTAAAAAATCGACAAAAAAGTCCAGTTTGATAAGAAGAACACGCAATGCAAAAACGCGTGAAATCGCCAATTAATATCTCCTCGTCAATTCCGAAAAAACGAAAACTTCGGCAAAAAAGGCAACATTGATAAGACACTGGGATAGACTGGACGACTGGATTAGAAAGAAAAAGTTAAGTTTGAGTAATGAGGGTCATCTAGATAACATCAGACCACCCACCGAAGATGAGTTAATCTTCTTTCTTTTCTTGGGCAGTTAAAAAGGTCCCGCCAAAACTTAACAGGTTGATTAACTTTGACTTAGGGAGGGGAGAGGGGAAAAGGGAGAAGATCCGAAAACCTGATTAAATAATTTTTTGCTCAAGTTGTTGACAAACTGATAAAACTTGGCGCCATATAGGTAACTTCCTGTGACACATTCGGTTTTTTTCTTCGAAAACAACATCAGGTTTTTATCCCCCTCCCATCCAATGTTTTGGGAGGAGGAGGGGGGGGGGGATAAAAATAAAAATAAAAATGTAACCAATTATGCAACAAGAAGTAATAATTCGCGCAAAAACATTGTCAATGCGTTCAATAAATCACCTTGTTGTCTCATCAATCACATCTTTTTTTACTCCTCTTCTTCCCTATTCCCTTTTTTACCTACTCTTCCACCAATTTATGCTCACCCGGCTGACCTTATCGATATGAGGCATCGTGGATATGTCTCAATCCATTTTTACCTCCCTCTCTAATAATCGACAGGGGTCATATCTATGATTGTGATCGTTGATAAACGGTCAAAGCAGGGGAATTTTTTGCGTGCGGGAAAAAAGGAGATTATGGGGAGATGGGAGATGGCATAATTAAAGGGAGATGGAAAAAAAACGGATGGGGGAGAGAGAGATTATCATGGAAAGTTTGAGGAGAAAACTGTTTGATTTTTATGAACCCTATTGATATTGGGGATACTTTGATCCGCTGGTGATTTTAGAAAAATGTGAAGAGGAATGCTTATGATGAATGAACAAGTTTTCTTCTTTGGGTGCAGAATTATTTGAAGAGGCAAACCTTCAGAGAGTACTGTACTTACAATTTAAAATTCTCTGTTCTGACTTTTTTGAAGAAAAGTACAGTGGAAATACAGAAAAAGGAAACCTCAAAGATCTTTTGCCGAAATTCACCCAGATTAGCCAACACCCAAAAAAATTAAATTCTTGTTTTCCCGAAAATTTTCTAGTGGATCATAGCCCAAACAATGAAAAACAACATGTCAATTTTTCTCTTAAAAGATTTCGAGAATTTGATACAGTTCCACCAGCTTCACCTATGCTTCTTCTAAGAAAATAAACTACCTGATCACTTGACTAAAAAATCCAACACAAAAATGTGACAAACAGAACTTTTTCTGCTTCTCATATGTGTTGTTGTCTTTATCTTCCGGAAAACCAAGCAAAAATTCAAGGCAGGCGGAAAAACGATGCGAAGCCGAGCAAAAAACGCGGAGGAGCCGGACGGACGCGATCGCTTTCATTTCAGCATCAGCTGTTCGTATAGTAGTGGACACACAATCTTTGTTGTTTTTTTTCGATTTTAACTTTTTCTTCTTCATTCTTCATTCTTCTTCTTATGCTTCTTTTGCTTCTTTCTGCTGTTCCAAGTGCATCACTCATCCGGTAAAGCTGAGAAGCACTGCAAACAAAACATTTGGTTTTTTGTTGTTGTTGTGGTGCTGCTATTTTTCAGACCATCAGAAGAGATAAGCAAAAAAACAACACAAAAAAACACTATATAGAAAAAAAGAGTTGGGTTTTTGAACGGCAAGAAATGATGATTGGCGGGAATCGACTGAAATTGTGATAAACGTTTTGAAGAGGCAGGGAAATACCGAAAAATCAAGAAAGAAGAAGGGTTTGAGAGGTTTAAAATTTGATGGTTTTGAAAAAATCTAGACGCTGGTATTACGAAAAAATGTGAATAATGAGATCTGAAATATACTGTGATTACAAAGTTTCCTAGATTGTGATTGATCCGACATCTTCTACTTTAGTAATCCGGTTTTCCTAACGGCAACTATAAGCTCTGAGAAAACTGACAAAGACCAACACGAGATTATAGAATAACTTATTTAGTGGGACTGATTTAGGGTCAGCGTAGCTAAATTTCTATTCTGTGAATTCTCAGTTGCCGAAATTATGTTTATGCATACAATTCACGTTTCTAAACAGAAATTCAAGCCAACGCCAAAATTCACTGTAATTCTGTCTATCAAGCAGGATTTTAAACAAAAAGTCATATCAGGATACTGTAAGCAGACTTCAAGCAGCTTTTATTTTATAAAGTGTCCAAGTTATACATACAGCAGATATTGTAATATTCAATAAAATAGAATCGAATGTCAATGTGGAATTATTTTTACACAACTTTAGCAGATCAACCGTAAGAAAGACAATGTCATATCTCTTGACGAGGGCTTCTGAACTTGTGGATAATTCAAATCTAGTTTGAAATTAAACCCAACCAGTAATTATCAAGTTTTTTTGCAAGAATTCTAAAGGTTGGTAAATAAGAAATTGTTCTGGTTCTTCAAAAGTTAAATCATTCGTTTTTTTGTGAATAAAAAAGGAAAACATTGATGACCAATAGTGCGATACTGAGCAAACAGAAAATACAAGTAGCCATGGATAAAAATGTGTGTCATCGGGTTTTTCAGTGGTTTTTTTTCTGTATTGTGGAAAAAGGAGGGATCAAAATAATTCTGTTTGTTTTATCATGTCG